TGATGAACAATATCAGTTATCCCTGTCAGACATTTTTATGTTGATAATAATTGTATCTGAAATAATTTTTAAGAAGTTATTTTTGTTTAAATATCTTATAACTATTATTTATATCTTTTAATTTATAGTACCTAACAAAAATTATTAAATATTGATTGAGTACACAGAACCATTAGCTATATAATGGTATATTTCAAATTTATTAGCTTAATATTGTATTATTTAATCAAATTTAAAAATATAAATAAAAATGATATTTTTAGTCTTATTTAAAATAAATAAATTATAATTATATTTATTTAGAATAGAAAAAAAAAGTTTTACTTTAAATTTTGATTTTTATCTTAATTTGTGTACTCAGTTTAAAACTGAACATATTCAGTGCGACCTAATATCTTTTTGAAGAATAAATAAAAAAATAAATACAAAAAAAGTGACTGCTATTTAAATGCTATTATATATATATATATTAATTTAAATATATTTCTGTATAATTGTAGAAGATGTTGTGGATCCAGAATTATTGTTCAAATGTCAACTGGGAAACGCTCCAGAGATAAATCACCTGCTTATAGGTAATTAATTTTATTATTAAAATCTTAACTCTTTTTGTTTAAACTTTAATTTTTATATCTGCATATAGTTAATTATTTATTTTTATATTTATATGAAATTAAATAACTAGAGGGGTAAATATTGGGTTAAAATACTATTATTTAATTTAAAATTAATGAGTATAAAAACTTTTGGCAGGTTATTTATTATAGATTCAACTTTATTGAATTCTTCATCATCACCACTACCACATCCACTACTACCATCACCTTTCAACACAGTACTACCAACTTGAGCCAGCAACAAACAACAGGGGGTGTGCGAGATTCTTGAATCCCTACTAGGCATTCTATTTTCATGAATCATTCATCATTTGGTTTTAGTTGTCAAATCCCTCGATTTTTATTGCAGTACAAAACAACAACTTAGCATTTGAAATTCATCTTCCTAGCTACTGCTGCATGCTTTGATTACATTGTTTTTGCATCGCTCATCGTTCATCATTATTCTGGTTATATTTTAGGTATTTAAATAAAATATAGTTACTAGCAGGATATTTACAAATTGAGTCTTATAAATGAAATTCTTGCCTATGAAATATTAATTTTTAACAATAATTTAATATTAAAAATAAAAAAGAATACAAATTTATTTTCAATTCAGATTCAAGTAAAAAAATATAATATATCAAAATGCAAACCCCTTCCTCAGTACATGTTTTTTTAATTTTTCTTTTATATTCCAATTTATTCCAATATTAATAACTTGATAATCATTTGTTTACCTATTGTATATAATTTAAACAATGTCCTTAAATGAAAGAAGCAATGTTTAGATCTATCAAACATGGTATTTTCTCATGAAAAAAAAATAGCATTTTTATTATATTTTTTTCATATATTTAAGTCATATTAAACAATTTTTAATATGTAAATTAATCCAGTTCTTTGATAATATATTTGCGCCAGAGTAATAAATCATAAAATATGTAATTTAAATATTAAAAGGGATGACTGGTTTCAAGAAAAATATACTCCTCTTACTATTTCTTGAGTATTGTGCCATAATTGTTATTAGATACATATCATGTATATTTGCATTCTGCAAATGTATTATTAAATAACCAGTTTAGTTTATATATATTATAAATTGTTTAATATACTAGAAAATTATAAAAACATTTAATAAAACATGGTTACTTCTTTGTGTATGAAAATATTTTATATCTGATTGATCTAAACATTGCTTTTTTCGTTTAATTACTGTCTAAATTATTTGCACTAGATAAACAAGTATATATATTTATATATATATTTGAATATAAATATGTATATGCAAATTAAAATAAAATACTACTATGAAACTGTTGTTGATCTAATATAATATAATTGAAAATTATTATGTATTGAATTAAGTGCTAATTATAACTTGTAAATGTGGAAGGGATTTTTACCAAATAAAATAATTACATCAATTTTTTATTCAAAAATTTAACAGTTTATGGAGTTTTTTATAGTTGAAGATTTTACTTTATTATAACTTACATGTTTTTGATTTTACTTCATTCGTTTTAGAGGGCGATCTTCACCTCCGCGGCGTACTTATCATTCATATTCACGTTCACCATCAAGGAGTCGTTCACCAGTTTATAGAAGTAGAAAATCTCGATCAAGATCTTATTCTAGAGGAAAATACTAATGATCACTATTTATGCAAAACAAATATGTTTCACATTTTTATAAAATACATGATTTTAATTAAAAATATATTTTGATTGATTATACTCGTACCCTTATAGATTGCTGTCAATAATTGAAAGGTGTTTGTATTCATTTGAATTATTAAAATGTATTTATTATTAAGGTTTAGATTATAATGTAATGAACACATAATTATATTGTGACTTAAAAAATTATTTTAGACAAGTGATTGGTTTATTTCTAATGATTTGTAATAAAATGTACCATACTTAATATATTTAGTCATAAATACACATTTTTACTTATTAAATATTTAATAGTGGAAACTTTATTGAAGTATTAATATATACAATTTAATTCTTATTATTGACATTGATTAAGCTAACTTACAATGAGCTGTAATGAGTGTAATGTATAATCATATGATTTAGTCTGTATTTATAACTTACCAACTATCTAAAATATTATTATATATTTATTTTTAAATTTTGAGTGAAGCTTTGAATGTATAAATATAAGAAGTTTTTTTTATTAATGAGATACTTACAGTTATTATATTTTGATAATTTCAGTAAAAAATTAAAGACAAAATTTAATATTGACAAAGATTAAAGAAAATTGAACGCGTAAAGCTCTTACTATTCAATTTTTAGACCTATTTGCAGTATCACATTAAGAACATGTTTATTTCATAAATATGTTAACTGAATTACCCGGCTTTGGCTGTATTGTAGTCGATAAATTTCTCAGAATAATTTATATTTACATGCCGTACGGCCTATATGGGTACTGGTTACAGGTAGCTGGAAACATTCGAGGATGGCCGCCATGCCGCACAATACGTATTAATTGGAGAATAATTGAAATTATTAATATTAAATTAGTCCACTTAAATGCAACATTTTTTTAAAATCTTTTCTTATTGTCCGGTAAAAGTATTGGAGGAACCACTAATCCAAATTTCAAATTCTTAGGTTGAGTAGTTTTTGAGATACAGCAATTAGTGAGCGAGGTATTTGGTTATTATATGTATAGATTATTGTCTGAAAGAGCATTAATAGGAGATAAGGACAATTGAGCAGAAGTGAAAATCAACAAGATGAACTGTTATAGTTGGCCGTTGGGTAGAGTACAATTACAACTATTATTAAGTCTCGATTTGAATGAGGTTGTTGTGGCCAGTGCATAACTTGTATTTAACTGTTGCAGTGCTGTTGATATCAAGAGATTGAAACCGACAGCCGTTGAGGTATGTTTTTTGGAATTGTTTTATATTTAGAAATTATTAGAAATGGGAGGTTGTCCCATTCCAGTTTCGTTTTTGGATGAATATGCGGTATAGAGTATATACTATAGGGGAATTAAATCGATTTAAGGGAAAAACTAAGGACCTCTGGGAGAGGGGCTTATCATAAAGGTAGCTAATTACTTGCGAGTGCTTTTTGTCTTATAACGGGAGCCCTTACAGGAAGGAGATGGTGATAACTGATAAGTGATAAGTCTGGTTTTGGGATAGAGATATGTGAATGAATAGAAATAATGGACAGCACTTGGAATGGAAGGTATTGCAATTGCTGGCTTTATCTAAAGGGCTGACTTGAAGTTTGAAGATCAGAAATAACTATATTGTTAAGGGGGAAGGTGTAGAGCGACAATGCGTTTTAATAATCTTACAATAATATAATATGATTTTATTTTTTTTGTGTAAACATTATGCAACCATGGTGGCATAGTAAGTAATAACCGTGTTTACTAAATATGACATATTATGTATTTGAAAAATTTTTTCGATTTTCAATTTGTGGGTAATTTGAACTAATTTCTGGTTACAGATCGAATCTAGTTTGAACCTATTAACCAAATTTATTAGAAAACAGAAATTTTTACTAAAAATCAGTTTTCAAAAATTTTTTTAGCAATTTCTTATTTTTTTTATGTGTTATTCTTATTACATCATTGTGTGATAAGTCTGTTGTCTGTAATCTGTATTGACTATTGACTAAAACATTAATCTTAATAATATTATGCTATGTAGATATTTTTATAGGTAGAGATGAGCTTTTAATAACCAAAAGAATACACAAAAATGTTTTAATGACCTAGAAACCCTAAACAAATGTACTTAGGTAAGTGAAAAAAAATTAATTTTAAAATAATAATTATTAATTATAATTTATTTATTTTTTATATTACACAAAATAGGTAAAAAATTGTCTTAAGAAGTAAATTAAATAAATATATTTGAATTTGAGTTGACAATTAATTATATTATTTTTTCAATATCAATAGATCAGAGTAGGTAATTGTGATTACTTATATAACACATACTATAAAAAGTTTAAAATAAAAAAATATGAGTTAAAATACACAAAATTAACGTAACATTTGTAAAAAAAATACAATAAAATGTTTATAACATAAAAAATGCAAATAAAAATTACATATTTTAAATTGTTATAAAACGAAATAAATTTAGTTATTGGTTAGAACTGTATAGCATTTAAAGAAAACAAATGCCTAAGTCATAAAAATTCTTTCTCTATTTATTAGTATATACATAATAAATGTCATGTTTTCGTCATAAGTCATAAGCCATAACCCGTTGTAATAATAATAATAATAATAATAATAATAATAATTATAACATAAAAATAAAGTACTATAATAAATTAGTAAGTAATTCATTAATCTTCATCATACTAGTTGCATTGAACTGATGTAGGTAACCACTAATCGTGTATATTAAATATTTTATAGTATAAATCCGTGGATATGACATAATATTAATGTCATACATATTATGTAGGTACATTAAATATATTTTACTAACATTTTTTTGAGAAAAAATTCATTCTAACTGATTTGGTTTATCCTAAAATTCTCAAGATCCTAATTATTGGTTCAGTAGGACTTTAAAAGTCAGATGTGTTAACCTATAATAGAATCGGTTAACGTTTTTCAATGAACAAAATGATATTCGAACAACTTGTTAGTGGGTAAAATTGTCTGACCCCTATAAACATTCATAGAAGAAACAACAATCATACTTATAACCAATGGTAGGCTCTTATTTTGTAAACAATATTAAATAATCAATAAAAATTGTTATCACTATTATTTTAGTGTTTATACTTGGGTTTTGTAAGCTGCATCTGCCGATTCTGCCGCACTAGCCACTATTCACTAATGTACTATTTACTATTTAGTTCACAATCGATATGTGTTTAGTTTTTTTCATTACTTAGTTTTTTAAACTATTTATTTTTATTCGATTATCTTGATTTATTTTCATTATAATAATATCCGGTTACAACACTTGGTGTATCGCTAAGTGAGTTTGGTTTACCGAAGGTAAGTACAAACCGGTATACATGGACTGTGGAGTATTTATGAATGTAATTTATGTGTGTATTCTAGGACGTATTTTTCTAACATTTACGGTAGAAAACTGTTTAAATTATGAATCGACGCAGGAGAGCGTCATCAATTGCTAGTCGTGCAACTGATGACGAAGTAGAAAGTTCACCAGTTGAGCACATACGCAAGAAAAGACGAGTGGATCCGGTATATGTAATTTCGAATAGAAAATTTTATATCATACAAATATGTATATGTAAAATAGATAATAATATATTTTCAGACATTAATTGAATCAAAAAATTATATGTTAAAAATCAGTTGGTTACTAATATATTTGTTAATAGATTAATTAATAGTTTTTTGATTTAGCTGTCATGAAAATATAGAAAAAAAATGGAGATCTCAATTGTGTTTAATCAGCTTCTTATTCATATCATATATTTTATTTGTATTGTTAAGGACACATGTATATGAATAATTATGATAACAATTAGACTATTTAAGTATTTCATATCACATCATCAATATAAATTAATTATAATAATCATTAAAAATACTTGTTAGTTGATACATAATGATTAGAATGTAGATTTCTATGCAATAGCATATTTTTTCCCTTTTCACTTATTTAGATTTTTGTCATTATCTTCATGAATCGTAATAATTTGAATCTAATGGTGACATTTTTTACATATTTCTGCATATGTAATGGTTAATGTATGTTTTTGTATATTTTTACAAAATTTGAAATGTATTGCATATTACAGTAAAAATTTTTCATTAAGTATTTAAGAAATTTATTATTAAAAGTTGTTAGGTTTATAATTTTTAAATAAATAAAAAAAAATTTCTTGCATATTTATAGCATATTTTTATGATTAATACTGTAAATTTTATTGTATATTTTGATACTTTTTACTGCATAAAAAGCTCTAATAATGATTTATAAACTTGCTTTTAACTAGAAATTTTTATTAAACTAAATACTTTTTATATAGCTGAGTTTTTTGTAAATACTCTAAAAAGTAATAAGTAACTATTTATTATTTTGTAAAAGAAACAATAATATGTACTAAGTAAAAATTGTATGGTCTATTTAAATCATTGGTTACCAACCTTATTTATTCTACGCCTCCTTTGTAGATTTTCAAAAATCTTGCCTCCCCCCACTTATAAATTGAAAAAAAATTATAATTTTTTTGTTTACTTTAAATTTTATAAATAAATTATATAATATTCGGAAAGACTACTTTTTTACTGATGATAGTAATTATAAAATATAAATAATTGTAAATAATATAGTATTATAGTGGAATTTTAAATATAATAAAATTTGATAAATAAAAATTTTACTTTGTGATGACTGCTTGCGCCTCCCCAGCGATGTGTATACGCTCCCAGGTTGGGAACCACTGATTTAAATTGAGCAAAGCGTTATCAAATTATTAAATTTTTAATTAAAACACATCTTGTCTCTTATAATACTAATTAAAAGATCTAATTTATTAAAACAACAATTTTTATAACTCTTGTGTTTAAATTTAATAATTTTTAAATACAATCGTTTTATATCTAATTTTTTTCATAATTTAAAAATT